CCCCTTAAATTCTTTTATTGGTAAATTTTAGGTAAACGGTACATTGACATTTATCATTGGGTGCTTGTACCTGTACATGTGTTCTGTAATTTCTTGAAAGCATGTTTCTAATCCAGACTTCAAACCTCCTAATATATTGCAATCATAACAAAAATTACCTTCCTTTCAGGAAATGTTCACTTATTAACACAGTTTTATGTTGTTTTAAAATAATTCTAAGATATTGATAAAGCCATTAAAATTGTGACAGAAACATATAAAAGTACACCTGAACTCAAATAGTAGGTCCATGACAATTCTATTTGTTTTTATTGTTAGCATTTAAAAAAATTATCAATGAGAGGCATATATGAATGATATTGGTACCACCAACTAATTCCTTGAATTTATAAAAGTAGTGGGAAAAGAAAAAAATGTTCAGAGAAATTTTTAAAACACCATGCACTTTTGATATCTTAAGGGTATGTCTTCTTAACTCATTTCCTCTACAACTTGTCTAATTCCAAGATATTCTCATTATTTTTGTGTAAAGCTTTCATAAAATTTCCATTCATCCATCAATTTATGCATTTATATAGTCATCCATATATACATTAACTTATACTCTTATTTGCAAAATATTTGAAGATAAACAGTATCTCTTTAATACATTCATTTTTTTGTGTGGAAACACATGTAACTATGTAAACAAATATGACTGGCATTAACTTTGTCCTATGGAAATGTCTTACGAAGAGGGTAAGAGTCCCAAATCTGGATGAGGGTGGATGTAAGAACTTTCAATTTTCTGATTTCTTCTGGTCCTCCCAGTTAGAGGATAAAGATCTGGAGTAAAATAAATTTTAATTAATGTTTACTTCCCTATTGCTTCTTCATTAGGTACTATTAAAACTTTGCCTCCGTGTGAAGTTCCCAATATAATAAAAAGGCAGACGGAGAATCCCAATGACACTAGTTTGACCACATGTAAGTTCTCTTCTTTTACCATCACCAAAAGGCTGTATGAAACTGTAATGAGTCCTTCTGCTATTCTTAATGTGTGCCTTTCATCTGACCTCACCATCATTCAGTGATGGCATCTGCATCTCCAGCTTGCTATCCTTCCTTGAAAAGAAAAAGAAAAAAGAAGTGAAGTAAACTGGCAATTCTATCAAGTTAATTTTGTTTTTCTGAAAAGGTTTATGGTTTCACTTACGTTTCACTGGCAAAAATGTGCTACCTAGCCAAAAACATTTGTGTGGGAGGCTTGGATTCATGGGTGTTTTTTTTTTTTTTTTTCACATTCCCTACATTGTTAAACAAAAATATATATATTTTTTTAGGGAATGAAGAGGGAAAATTATACTGAATAGGAAAATAGCAGAAGCTCTAGGGAGCTCCTAGTACATAGAATACAATTAGAATCTAACAAAATTCAATCCCCGCTTGTATGTATTGAAGACTTTTAGGTATTGTAAACTTGCCAACAAAGTATTTAAAGTCCAAGTCTGAATTTTCCCAATCCCTATTTTTATGTTGCCAATGAGAGATATGTGATATGACATGTTAAGGCAATGACGGCATGGTGTGTTAAAAACCAAGGCATCACCGTATAATTGGAGTGAGAGTGGGGGCAACTGATAGCTGCCTCCATTCTTCTAGTAGGTCCCATGCTATCAATGAACAGAGAATTTGTGAGCCAGACACAGTGAAAAGAACAAAGCATTACAGCTACTCCATTTTCTGACCCTAAGAGGAGTGGCTTTATATCAAGGAATGTCCACCTTTTCCATTGCATTGAGAAATAAAAAAGAATGGGTGATGTGAGAGGAAAAAAGAGCTTTCACTTGAGAAAGGTGCAAGTGACACAATGATGTCAAACATAGGTGGATTTTATGGGTCAGTGATTTATTAACTTACTGGTAAAATATTTGGGGGAGACAAGTATTGTGGTGTAGGTTCTAAAAAGATGGGAGGATATGAAGCAGAGGCAGAGTAATAGATTATTTATTCAGGTTTTAAAATAAAGTTGAGTTATTTAGTTTGAAGGGCAAAGAGAAATAAAGCCATAGGATAGCAAAAAGGCCTCTACGTTGAGAGACTTGGAGGGTCATGCATTATTTAGAACGAAATTACATCATACGCAAGAGGTGCGGGGAGAAAGATAAGATATATGGTGCTATTGAAAGGTTTAAATGAGTCCTAGTGAATATTTCTTTAGACTGTTGGAAAAATAGATCTGAAGCTTGATAAACTATTATGAGCATGCCATATATATTTGAAAATTATATGTGTATTTTGCTAGAGCTTCTGTAACAAATTATACAAACTTGTGACTTAAAACGAAAGATATTTCTTACAGTCTTGGAGACTAAGTGGTCAAAATCAAGCTGTCAGCAGGGCTATATTCTCTCTGAAGACTTTAAGGGAGGAACTTTCTTTGTCTATTCATAGATTTTGGATTATCGGGAATCCTTAGTTTATGGAGAAATCACTCTGATCTTCTCACCTGGCATTCTCCCCACCTCCCTCACTGTGTGTCTGCCTCTAAATTTCTCTCTCCCTATAAGGATACAAATCTTTGGATTAAGGCCTACTCTAATTCATTATGGTCTGAACTTGATTACATTTGCAAAGACCCTATTTTAAAATTAAGGTCATATTCATAGGTATGAGAGTTATGATTTTGGCCTATTTCATGGAGTACACAATTCAACATAAAGCAATTTGCATAGTAAAAGAACCCTCAAAAATAGATAGGACCACTGTGAGAGATTTGGAGCAATAATCCCTTGTAGATATCCCAGCATTAAAAGGAAAATAATGAGTAAGTATATGCTAAGTGAGACAGAAAAATTCATCTAGAAAAATTGTTTCAAAACCAAGAGAAGCCTATGCATTTTGAAGAAGAGACTTGACAAGTAGATTAAAAGACTCCAATGTTCAAGAAACATGTGTGCTGAAAATAGACCACTATATCTCCTGTTAAATATGAGGAACAAGTTTATAGAAAGCTGATAATTTAAGAAGATACTAATTCACTTGACATTATGATGGTTGACTGAACCAAGTGACTAGCAGTGGAAGGAAAGAGGATTGGATAAGTTACTGAAGTACAATCAAAAGGAACTGGTTTTGAATTAGACCCAGTATACAAGGAATACCAGATGTCTTCTAGTTCTCCTTTGAAAACTGTATGACTGGGTTAATATTTATTGCTACAACACAGTAGGTCCATGGAGAGATGATGATTTCAGTTTTAAACATGGCTGGGTGCCACCTCTGTGATATTTTCTACTGGAGTTGTATAGTGTGCTAGCAAATGAGTACTGGAGAGTTGGAAGATGAATGGGTCCAAATGTAGATCTTTGTAAAGGGAGATGATAATTGAAAGCATCAACATGTGTGATACTAACCAGAGAGAGAATATGTAGATTTATCTGAAACTACCCCTGATGTACACAGAGAAATAGAAGAATGAGCACCACAAAGAATGAGAAATGGTAGCAAGAGATGAAAAGTTGGAGAGTGTTGTGCCAACATAAGAGATGACTTCAGGCAGGCAGGGCTGTAAGTGGCACCAAAGGCTGAATAGTCATCAGTTTGCCAGTTTGAAGGAGGACAGAGAGGAGTCTCTAAATGTTGTTTGGGTTTTTTTTGGTACCAGGGATCGAACTCGGGACCCTGTGCTTGTGAGGCAGGCGGCAGAACCACTGAGCTAAATCCCCGGCCCCAATACATAGGTCTTTTTAAAAAACACTTAAAGGCCTGAGATTTAGCTCAGTGATTCAGGCGCCTACCTCGCAAACAGAAGGTCCAGAGTTTGATCCCTGTTACTGAAAAAAAAGTATATATTCTCATGTGCACATGTGTTTGTATTTTCACTTTGATACAGTAAAGAGGCTGATTGCAACACTTAATGTTACTGACTTGGGAAGAGCTCTTTTAATCATTTCACCAGGATGGAGAGAAGAATGGTATAAGTGAAAAGTGCCTGAATAAAAAGTGAAGTTCATTAGTATAAGTGAAATTGACTGAAGAATTTATGATATTTAACATCTCATTAGGAAAATCCAGAGGGAAGAGGGACTTCAAAGACAGAAGGGAGAAAAATAATATTGAGTGAAATTACCTTAAAAAGTTTACTTGGCTTTATATGAAGGAATGTTCACCTTTTCCACTGCTTTGAGAAATAAGAAAGAATGGTTGATCTTAAGTGGTAATTGATGAGAAAAATGTTATCCAACTAAGAATAATCCTCCAAATTAAAAAGTGGAGGAGGATAAAATAATTTGAAGGCATTTACTAACTTTCAAATGCTCTTTTGTCATTTAATGTCACTTATAAAAAAAACTTGACTGTGTATTGCCTTTGACCTTCTCTCTCTCTCTCTCTCTCTCTCCCTCTCTCTCTCTCTCTGGGCCATGTTGTTAGTTTCAATTGGGAAAAATTTCTTTTATGTGTTCTACCACTACCTTTCATCAGAACACTTCCCATAGCTTAGTGTTGTTGGAAAGCCATCCAACCCCCTCACCCCCTCAAGGGGCCGGAGAGCTCTCTCAGAGGGCCATGGAGACTGAAGCTCACAATTTCTGCCAACAGGACTGAGATCAAAGGACTGACATCCAGTTTTTGTACGATGATTTGTACACTCTGACATTTTATTAAATATGATCTCTTTTTTGGTGATCTAATACAAATCAAATTGAACAAATGATATTTTCTATTGTTCCTGTGAATTGCACTATAAATTTCCCTATAAATATTTATAGAGCAGTACTGTGATAATTTTTATTTTGCTATCTTTGTTTTAGTTTTTTCTATTATAAATTATTTTTATAAAATACTAAGTGTCTGAGTAGATGGAAGAGTGTGTATTTTCTTCCTTTTCCACTTGGAGCACATTGTTTCAAATGTGCTGTCCGGGAAGTTTTAGATAACATAGTACTTAATACTTAGGGAACATTAAAACAGTTTTATTTTGGTTAGCTCATTTATAATCCAAAGAGGGTGTTGTGGTATTGGCTCTGATAAAGCTTCATAACCAATGGGAATGCTTTTTGAATTAGTGTAGAGTGTCCTTAATGCTGGAATAATCCCGCTGGCCAGGACCCTGGAGCTGCACAAATGAGAAGAGAATTCAGGAAACTTTGTTGTTTACACATGTGTCTACAATTGAGAAGCTAGAGCAGCCTTGCAAGCCCAGAGGGTAAGAGTGTTTCATAACCCTGTGGTTTTCCGTTTCATTTTTATACTTTCCTGTCGGAGAAGAACATGTGTTGTTCTCAGAGTAAAGAAAAAGACAGTTGCTTGCAAGATGCAGAGCAAATGTACCATTAGTCTAGGAAGCAGGATTTAAAGTCTTTTTAAATGGACTTGATTTCTTCCCTTCCTCTTCCATCTTTTCACTGCGGATGTTATTTACTCTGACAGTTTGTCATATATTTTCTGCCTTTGAAAAATTACTGCGCTAAACAAAATGCAGGCAAGAGTTTCAACTCGGTTTTGACAGTAATAGAACATGTTGATATTGAACTTTAACTTTCTAATTCCATACGAATATGAATTAGTCAGTGTGTTTGAAGTAATGTATATTTTAGAATAATACAGTGAAATTATCATACAAAGTCTATAGTTTTTATTTTGAGAATTTTCACACTGAAATACTGTCAGTAATTTTAAACATAGTACTAGTATTGAATTTTTATTTTACTTGTATATTGTGGAGGAGACAGAAACACAGAACAAAACTATAGAACTATATAATGTATAGAAATAAGTTATAGAGCCAAAGATAAAAATCTTGGGAAACAATTGGGAAGCACTTATGCTTTCTGCAAAAATAAATGATCAAATGAGTAGTGAGTGGGTAAGTCTGTTAAATATATACTTATACAATTAGAAGTATTTAATATATGGCATCAAACTACATAATGATTTATCTTCATAAGCTTATTTACATCAAAACTTTTTTTCTGTTTTCTAAAATCATATGAATGTTTTTGCCAAACTTTTTAATGGGAGTATTACAACTTTGAATGTCTTATTTCATGGTTAATAAATCATCTTCTTGTCCATAAATTTACTTGTATATATATCAAATATTTTTGAATTCTAACCTTTTGTATATTTTCATGAAAGCATTAAATTTGAAAGAAGTCTTGATAAGCTAGTAAGATATTTGTATGTTTTGTGTGATTTTGAAAAATATATTAAAATATCAGTAAACCTATCTGAAGATACAGAAAAATAATTTATGTGAATTACTTTAGTTTCCAAAAACTTTAAAAATAGTTCTCTTGTTAAATAATATTTAATTATCGCTCTTTGGCAATTCATATATTAGTTGCCTAATCTCTGGGACCCAGTATGGGCTCTAATTTATGTTTCATCGAAGTAGTAGAACCACAAAGATAATACTATGATTTTTAAGTATATGAAAACTGACTTCTTCTACATGAAGAAGTACCACATCTTTTTTAAAAGTAATATTATAGGATTAATTGAATTCTGTTAAAAGCTTCACAAATTCCCCTTATTGTAGGGATATTAGTGCTAGAGGAATTCAAGGGGCTTTGAAAAAGTTCAACCTCCTGAGCTGAGTATTGGGAAATTAGTGAAATGAGTAGTTGCTGAAAGCAAGAAGAGAATTCTTACTTTGTTAAAGCAGTTGGCACGAAGGGTTTTGAGACATGAATTAGCAAAAAGGATGGATTAATGGTGAGTAATCTAGGTGACTGGAGCACAAAAATGCCCTTTTGTGAGTAGCAGATATTGTGCTCAGTAGACAAAAGGAGGAAAAAATTGGGGAACATTTTAAAATTCACACAGAGTAATTTTGTTATTTTATATTATACAATGGGGGCAACTGTAAGTTCCTGAAAAGAGAAGGAATTGTTTCTTTTTTCATCATTCTTACTATCATCATCATCATCACCATCCTGCCAATACAAAATAGCATGTCCTATGTACTAGATTGTCAAATGATTGTCATACATATTCACAAGTTTGATAGATGTGAATCAAAGTGAACTTCATCTACACATTATCTTCATTTTACACATGAAGAAATTTGGCCTTTAGAAATGTTAAATGATTTACTTAAAACCACAGATACAATTAGTTCTATAACCAGAATTCCAAACAATGTCTTTTTGGCTCCAGACCCTTTTCGACTATGCTGCAATGGTATTTTAGGAATGTGAATCTGATGGAAGATAAGGAGAATGGATTGAAATAGTCCTTGGAGTAATAGGATGCAGGGAGAAGGTGGTAAGACAATACTCTAAAGATCAATTCCAGAATTCCATAAATCTAAATGAATTGCACTTCTTCCAGGTGGTCCATTATTTCCTTTGGCATTAGAAAGAAAAAACTGATACTGCAAATAAGGAGTGGTGTTTACATTTAAATTGGCTGTTCTCATCTTCAACACATGCTTTTAAGTATTTTATTTTTTTGAACTTTGTATTCAGAAAATATATCTTTTGATTTCTCAGAGAAAAATTTCAGAACTAATTTTTATTGAATTATTAGTCACAAAAGAAATACTTGAATGAATGGATATGACAGTGAATACAGAGCGGGAATGCTGTAAGAGAGAGGCATAAGCTGATGAAGGAGAAGAGGAAAGAATGTATTTGTAGTAGCCATTTCACTGAGTAGCTTGGAGGGGAGTAGATGCAGCATGCAGATTGGATGTTTGGCTGTAAGGGAATAGACAAAACCTCCATATACACAGATAGGGTGTATGGATATCTATGAGACTGATGGGTGTATTAGGCACTTGTCTTCATAGTACTTCTTTTTTAAAGTAAAATAGAAAAAAATAAAATATTTTTATCAACAGAGATGAGGAAGACATAAGTTTGAAGATAAAAATGTATGAAGCTTAGTAGAGTGGGCAGTGAATTTATGTGAGAAATGGGATACATTTGGCTTGGGAGTAGTAGTTAAGGGTCCCTTTGAGGTTCAACATCAAGAATTTGAAGTGAGACCAAAGGACATATTTTCTTCAATTATGATCAGATGCTCAGGTACAGGTATTAAAGAGTTAGAATTTTCAAAGCAAGTAAGATGGACACAATGCTATGAAATTGAGGCAAATTTGTTAATAATGGAGTATAGAATAGGGAGGGAAAAGGAGGTATGAAATAAATGATGAACTGCAAAGATGAAAATAGAATGAATTATAAGCACTCTAAGTTAGGTCAAGGAAAGAGTTATCTGGACAATAGCAAGAGAAAATAAGAGCGATGCTACTCATTAGTATGGGAAGCAATACTAGTATGGTAGGGCATTTAAATTTTTGTTTTGGAAAACATTCAACCCCTTTTTTCTACTTTACCAGTTAAGTAACAATTGGGTTCACTAGCTACATTTGGTTACTCATTCTCATGCAAGAATCTATTATCATATAAAGGATCTTATCCACTTTCCTTGTCTTGATTTATATCATATTTTGATTGGTCCTAAAACTGTATTGGAGAATAATCTTCAGGTAGGGATGAGATCAAGATTGATTTTTTAAAAAAATATTTAACAAATTGTAAGTCCACAATTATTCCAAGTGTTTATTCATTTGCCCAAAATGAAATAAAATTATGTTTAACAAAATAATGCTCAGGAAATATGAAATAATAATATTATTCTTGTGCTTTGATTTATAATACAGCCAGTATTTTAACAATCACATGTATTTTTAAGTTCAACCATTTTTCCATGTTGTCCAAACAGCTTTAAATGCATTTTAGTGGGAATTGTCAATTATTGCTTAGATAAGAATGTTGAGCAGGCACATTTAGTTTTTTGAGTGATGTCTATTTTGCTTTGATGTGAGTACTGCAATATCACCTCTTCTGTGTCATGTGACCATATGACAGAATAAAAATGTCCTGCTCACTACATTTAAATGGCAGCTGGAGCTGCTTTAGTGTGTATTTTCATTATCAGTGCAATACATTTTAAAGCATACATTTTCAAATAGTGTTTCTAGTGATCATCTTAATTAGAAGGACATACCAGAAATTTCTATAAGATAGTGTAGAAATGCTGCCAAAACACACTGAGCTGCTTAAAAATATTACAACATATATTTTGTCTGTAAAATTCCCAATGAAAAAGAACATTTCTCATGCTCTACAGCTCTATTGTCTAGTAGAAACACACTTCAAGCATCATTTGCAATTTAAAGTAGCTTCTCTAAAAAAGTTAAATAAATTCCAATATACTTTTTTAACCCAATATGTCAAAATGTTATCATTTCAAAATGCAATAAATATAAAATTCTTAGTGAGATATCTTACGATTTTATTTTCCAAAATTGGTCTATTTCATACTTTCAGAACAACTTAAATTGTGACTACCCTCATTTCAAGTGGTCATACATCTGGTAGGTTGCTACTTTGTTGGATGAAGCACTGTGGATCATAGGACAAAATACCATATGAACAGTTAGAAAATATTCTCATACCAACCACAGAGCAATATAAGGCATTATATTTATCTCCTTGTTGTAAATGAATACATATGAATTTGAATGATTTTATTAAAGATAAGACTATCACAGGTAAATCCGTGTTCCCTGGGTTCTACTATTCAATTGTGATGTCATGTTTATGTATTTATGCTACCTTGATACTGACAAGTACAAAAAATATAGTTCCTGCTGAAATAACCCATTAAAATTGAAAAGTATTAGAGCAAATTGTGATTGATAATTTTTTAAATCTGGAACAAATGCAGAGAAATAATACTGATGTTATAATTCTAATGGCAATGACTGAGACAAAGAAGTCATCATTTTGTGTAAATATCTTCATATTATTAGTGGCTATTCTGAAATTCTGTGGTAATGTATATAATCAGTCGTGTAGCTGGGGTGGGTTTGGGGAGTGGAAGGGGTGTCTGCCCCAGATGGTACATTTTTTAGGGGCAATATTTAAAAAGGTGGACATATTCAGATATGTCTGGATTTGGCAAATTGAAGGACTTCCCAAGCAGCATGAACTCTAGCTTTGCTACTGATGTATATATCATTTCTATTTTTGTTACATAATACAAGAATATTAAGTTTTAAATAACTTAATTATTCTTTCTTTCATATATATTCTTGTTTTAGTTTTAATGAATTTAAAATGTTCCCTAAGGGAAAATAAGTGGTTTAATACCATTATAATACAATATAAAGTTATGAATGAACATTTTTTA